ACCCTCACTCATTTCAGAAGCACCCTCAGTGATTATTTCTGGAACCTGGTTGATACGCTTTTATTGCAAAACTATATACAAAAACAACAAAATACAAATGCACTAAATAAAATAATTGAATAAATGCATGTTTACAATTTAAGCACTAAAACTAAAATAAGTAGGCTAGTAATAAAATAAATAACTAGAGAAGGCTGACTATAATCAGCTTGCTTCCATTTAGTGAGAAAAGCCTAGGCCTACTCTTCAACTGAATCAGAAAAAAAAGCTCCTCTGGTCTTCAATGATGCGGGGACAACGTTTGAGCGTACACGTATATCTGAGCGAGAGAGACAATTCATAAAAGAACCATGTATATTTAAAAGCACACGTCTAGCTTTTTGTGAGTTCTCGGAGTCTGAGGGTGCTTTGGTGCAAATTCCAAGTGTGTTTTCATGTGTCTTCACTGAGGAGTGGATTGAGTTTGGCCACACTGCCATAAAGACCGGATTGGTGGAGTGTTGCAGCGATGTTTGTCCTTCTGTAAGTTTCTCCCATCTGCATATATGATCATGGAGCTCATGATCTAACCAGTCTAACCAAGGGCCTTCTCCATCAATTGCTCAGTTTGGCCAGGAGGCCAGCTCTAGGGAGAGTCCTGGTTGTTTCAAACTTATTCAGTTATGGATAATGGAGGCTACATGCTTCTGTGAACCTCCAATGCAGCAGAATTTTTTCTGAACTCTTCCCCAGATGTGTGGTTTGACGCAATCCTGTCTCTAATCCTGAGCTCTACAGGCAGTTCTTTTGAACTCAGGGCTTGGTTTTTGCTTTAATGTGCATTTTCAGCTGTTAGGCCTTTTATCGAGAGGTGTGTGCCTTCCCAAATCATACTCATTCAAATGAATTTGCCACAGGTTAACTTCACTCGAAGTGTAGTAACATCTACAAGCGATATAAATGCTCCTGAGCTAAATTTCTAGTGGTATGAATACTTATGCAATGGAATCATTTCAGTTTTTTATTTCTAATTTATTTTTTATTTCTGTTTTTTGCAACTAAAAAAAAATGTTATTTAAAGCAATTAAAAAAAAAATTAGGGGCTATGCATTCTTTCACAAGGCACTGTATATATATCATTTAATCATTTATTTTAAATGAATTGTATTGAACTATATACAAACTGATATTTGAGTGTAGCTAAAATTTATATCTATATTGTTTATTTATAAATGCAGCCTGCTCTAACTTCTTGATTACTGATTTTTGCTATTATAATCTCCGTGCTACAAATTAATTATAATTTATATTATAATTATTATTCAATTATTATTCATATTAATAGAATCTATACATTACATTTAATATACATTTTTACATTTATATTTACAATATACTTATCTTGTCACTGAAGAAACAATAAACGCAGAGCAAAATAGTTTTCATGGAATGTAAATTTAACCAAAAAAAACAACAACATTTTTGTCAATAAATTACTATAAAGGTCTAATGTATCAAATATAATGCAGACTTTTTTTTTTTTTTTTAAAAAAGAATGAAACAATAATAAAAAAAAACAAAAGTAAATTTTGCATTTCATTTGGAAATCAAGGTCTGGAGTCTGGAGGAAGAGTGGAGAGGCACAGAATCCAAGCTACTTGAAGTCCAGTGTGAAGTTTCCGAAGTCAGTGATGATTTGGGTGCCGTGACGTCTGCTGGCATTTGTCCATTGTGTTTTATCAAGTCCAAAGTCAATGCAGCCGTCTACACCATGAGATTTTGGAGCACTTTATGCTTCCATCTGACTTTTCTGTTTTGCAAATCCTTTTTTATATTCTAATATTTTGAGATACTGGATTTTTGACTTTCAACTTTTTCACGATATTCTAATTTTTTTAGATGCACCTGTATATATATATATATATATACTAAAATGTATTTAAAATACATTTATTTTGTGCTAAGTATACTACAAATACATTTACATATTTATGTGCTTAATAAAAAATACCCTGCAATTGTACTGTTAGTATACTAAACTGGTACACTTAAAGTCTGCTAAACTGGAACAACTAATTTTGTACTTAATGCACTTTAATTGTGCGGAAGTAGTTCTGAAGTCCAACTAAAGATATACTAAAATATATTTAATTGTGCTAAAGTGGAATTATTGCAAGTATACTTCAGGTACACTCTAAATATCTCACATTTAAAGATCAATATTATTCAAAGATCATACAATCCTCATCAATACTGACATTAAAAGACATTTTAGGCTTCATATTAAGAAATGTGCATTGTGCAATAAAGAAATACTCCAAATAAAGTTCAATTATGATTTTATATCAGTAAGTCTTAAGTGATATGTGACCCTGGACCACAAAACCAGTCTTAAGTCGCTGGGGTATGTTTGTAGCAATAGCCAAAGATACATTGTTTGGGTCAGAATTATAGATTTATCTTTTATGCCAAAAATCATTAGGACATTAAGTAAAGATCATGTTTCATGAAGATATTTTGTAAATTTCCTACCGTAAATATATCTAAACTTAATTTTTGATTAGTAATATGCATTGCTAAGGACTTCATTTGGACAACTTTAATTTTCTCAATATTTTGATTTTTTTTGCACCCTCAGATTCCAGATAGTTGTATCTCGACCAAATATTATCCTATTCTAACAAACCGTACATCAATGGAAAGATTATTTATTCAATTTTCAGATTATGTAGAAATCTCAATTTCGAAAAATTGACCCTTTTGACTGGTTT